GCAGCAGCGAAAATGGCCATGGAAATGACTGCTGGGGCCTAGACTGGTTCTCTACTGTCAAAGATTTAGCAAAGGGCTCATGGCCAACCACTTCCCTGGGACACCCTGGCAGCTGAGTGTAGGCCCAGGCCAAGTCCGAGCTCCCTGGGTATGAGCCGGAGCTCAGCAGCTTCCTACTCTTTGACTGCCCAGCTCTTTGTTCCATTGTTTGGTTGGAGTAAGTGTATGAGGCGGGGGGGGGGGGCAGTCAATAAGTTTAACTTACACAGAAAGGATTGAATCTACAGTACGTGGCAGAGGAGAGGGAGAGAAAGAGAGAGAGAGATTTCTGTCTGATCTCGGCTCATGGCAGAAGTAGCTACTTAAGTGGATCATCTATAGCTGCACTGTCTGCTTAGTGACTTCGTTTACGCCCCATTCTATTTCTTGGTGATGACACATAGCACTTAGACAGTTGTTTTTGCATTTTTATACCCTCCTCCTCCCAAGTTTATTTACTCTTCCCCAAGCCACCCATCGTAAGACTTCCCAAACACCATCAAACATAAGCGCTCCATTTTGTCAAGGGACTTGTTTTTAATCTGAAGTGTCTAGAGAGACAAGCACTTCTGACGTCCTACATAACCAACAGGTTTGCAAATACCCTCCACTGCTTTATGAACCGTCCACCGGCCATTCACAGATGATAAAGGATTTCACACTTCTACATAGGGCTAGCTGAACATGAGGGCTGTTTAGAAAAGCTGCTGTGTTATATAACCATGATAACCTCTGCTCATCTTCCCCAAAGTGGATAGTCCAGATGGGCTCCACTCAAGCTGAAGATTCAGATAACGCAAATGTGTTTGGGGGCATCAAATGCATCGTGAATAAACCACAGTTTTGTTTTGGTCAGAACCCAGATAGCCAAGGTATCCTAGCTGACTAAATGCGTATCTGGAAAATAAAACAGTTGAGCTAATGTTATGCAGTCTGGCTTTTGTGTAGCTGAAGCCAGTGATGGATGTAGCCACATTGGGTCTTAGACATCCTAAATTCCATCTCCCACCTGTTTTCCCTCTTTTAATGTCCTCACCCCAAACTCTTAATTATACAAATTCTAAACATTCTTTAAGGTTTAGCTCCATAGTTTTCTTCCCTTTGATCTGTGCTTTAACACCTAAAGAATATAATTCAGAAAGTAATAGAATTGCCAGCAATTGCTCCATCTTTTTCACTTGCCCACAGCTGTGGCCTCTGTGTCTTAAGTTTTCCTTGGAGCCCTTCAGTTACTGATCCCTAATAGATTCTAATAAGTAGATTTGACATAAGGATAATTAAAAGATATGGATCACACAGCTTTCAAAGGTATGCAAATTGTCAGTGAAGAACAGGACAGAAATCGGCCTCCCTGCCGATGAAAGACAATTGAAGAGGAAGAATGAACTGGGCTTTTTCGCAGGTCTTTCAAAAGGAAAACGATTATGAATGCAGGGCTTTATCAGGAGGGCTCATGACACTGAGCTCAGAGGTCCCTGTTCCATTTCACAACTGCATAATTTGGAAATGATTAAGAACAACTCTTTCTCAACATTTTTTAATCATGGGCCAACGAAAAACATCACATTGATTTCTCCAGCCCATCTTTCTTGAATGTGCTCATATGAAACACGTTATTTTAAACCAACTTAGCTCTTGAGTTTTAACTCCATTAAGTTTCTGTCAACACACCCTTCCATTTGTGGGAATACAAAGACAATTACACTTCTTGAACTCTACTACCAACAGAGGAAAAAAAATCACCCGAAAGTGATGTGGGAGTGTCATATATCAATCTGTTGATTTCATTGGTTAATTAAAGAAACTGCTTGGCTGGCCTCATAGGTTAAAGCATTGGTGGGAGGCGTAAACAGAATAGAATTCTGGGCAGAAGAGGAAGTGAGGTCAGACTCTGCTCTGCTCCCGGAGAGACCGGACAGCTCTGCTCTCTGGAGCAGAGACACCATGATGGACGGAGGCTAGAATCTTCCCGGTAAGCGCACCTTGGGGTGCTTACACACATCATTAGAAATGGGCTAGTCCAGGTGCGAGAATTAGCCTGTAAGGGCTAGAGTTCATGGGCCAAGCAGTTCTTTAAATGAATACAGTTTGTGTGTTGTTATTTCAGGCATAAGCTAGCCAAGCGGCCGGGGTGTTGGGGACGCAGCCCCGCCGCCGCTCCTATTTCAACAGAAAGTGAAAAGCTTGCGCTGCCATTCACTAAACAGCTTGAGGGTGTCTCAGAGCTGCTTTCCCACGGTGCACAAAGTGTGAGCAGGTGCACTGCAGAGGAGCAGAAGAGCTGGAAGGTGAGCCGGTGCTTCCTGTAAGGCAGGGGCTCCTGGAGCTCCTTCAGCCAGGGGCTCAGAACTACTGGCTCCACTCCAGTTTATGGGGCAATCACCATGTCTGCCTGCCTGCTGCGCTCAGCCATGTCTGCTCCCCTGCTTAGTTCAACGACATTTTCTGAGGGAGATTTCTTTTCCTTTTTTCTTTTTGTCTCTTCCTTTTGTTTTTGTTTTCAAAACAGGGTTTCTCTGTGCAACAGTCCTAGTTGTCCTGGAGCTAGCTCTTATAGACCAGGCTGCACTTGAACTTACAGAGATCCACCTGCCTCTGCTACCTGAGTGCTGGGACTAAAGGCACGCGCCACCACTGCTCAGCTATGAGGGAGATTTCACTTAGCTTCAAGAAGGAGCTGAGCAGAGACCATGGGAGTGGGGGGTCTGAATTTCATGCAAAACAGAAAACTTGCTCATCTTTAAGAGGAAAATATTTAGAAAGATTTATCACCAATCTGGTATAGTCCCTAACTCCTAATTTTATGATCTCTGTTCTGAACGTCATGTCTAGAAGCACAGGAAAACTTGGAAAGAGACATGCATATGTTAAATTTTATCAACTTAAAGTGCAAAGTGCTGAGTGCTCAAGGGAAGAAGAAGGGCCACTGGGGAAATCTAAAAATAGACTAAAACACAGGAGAGCCAGGTATTGAATATTTTACAGGTTTAGAGAAAGACAAAATGTGCCTCTGGCAAGATGGGCCTCATTCCTTCTGATGTGGGACACTGTGTGCGACCTCACACCCCTGCCCAAGGAGCTGCAGGCACACAGGGGCTGGTGATCAGGGATGCCCAGAGGTGAAGGCTCTCTCAGCAGGAGGCTCCTCAGCCATGGTAGAAGGAAGTCACCTACCTTCTCCAGCCTGGCTTTTCCTTTCTGAACCCTAGTGTTTTTCTTGTGTTTATGATGTCCTTCATCTCTACTTACTAGTGACATTTAAATTTTCCCCACTTGCTTAGCTAGGAATAGCAAAAAACCAAAACAGCCCCTGGAAGATATTGTCAAGAATATGTGCATCCACGTAACAATAATTATTAAAGAAGAGTTTATAAATTTGAGAGGGTGAGAAGACACAGAAGGAGTTGAGCGGGTGAGGGAAGAGAAGTGGTACAGATGCGATGCTAGTATATAAAACTCTCAATAAAAATTATCGTCTAAAAAACAAAAAGCAAACTAAACCAACCAACCAAAGAAGGCCTGCCTGACCACCAGCTTCGGAAGCATCCTTTCCTCACTGAACTCGGCCATGATGGACAGCATCAACATCCCCAGAAGTGGTACTTTTCAGGCTTTATTTTTGATCTACATGGAAAGTGAAGATGCTTTTAAATGTAAAATATGAATTCCTGCTTGCCTCACAAGCACACAGAACGAAGGCCAAGCCTCCTGTAGTTATAGAGGCTAGGCAGACCTTCATCTCTTTCCTCTGGGCAGCCATGTAGTAACGTCATCAGGATCCGGAACACAGAGCAGGTTCTGCATTGTATAGGTGATTTGTCCAGCCCTCATATATTTTGACTCCCCCAGTTTCTCTTGAGCTGTTTATTTTTTCCTGTATCTTCTCTGTAATTACTTGTTTAAATTTATTGATGCTTTTTAATTTTTTTTCAAAATCTCTAAATTTATAACCTTTGGGTCTACTTTAGAATACACAAGCTCGAAAACCAGTGCTTTTTTTCTTCCTATAAAGTGAATTAGTGTTATTCAAAGTATATAATTATGCATTTCAAAATGGCTAGACGGGTGAACCTTGAAATTTTAACCATAAAGAATGATACATGCCTAAGAGAATGGATGAGGTAAATACTTCGAGTGTGCCAATAACCAATAAATACATGTTTTGAACCAGCATGCTGTACTCTCTAAATATATATATGCATTGGGTGTTAATTAGAAATGGAAGAGGAGGATGGAATGGTGTCTCAGAGGCCCAGACCACTCTTTAATCTTCAGAAGACCCTGGTTCCTTCCTTTCCCAGCACTCCCATGGTGGCTCACAATCTCCTGGAATTCTAGATCCAGGGGATTCGATGTCTTCTGATCTCTGTGGCATCCCGCATCTATGAGTAGTACATAGACACACAGAGACATTCACACTCATACACACATGCTCTCACATGAAATAAAGAAGCAAATGAATAGAATATCTGAAAATAAAAGAACCCACAGGAACCAGTGAGACGACTCGACAGGCAAAGATGATGCTGAGCCAGTCCTGATACCTGTGCTCTGACACCTTGGGATCCACATAAAGGTGGAGGAGGGGACCGGTTCCACAAGTTGTCCTCTGACTTCCATATCTACACCATGGCATATGTGCCCATATACATCACAAACACACATTAAGAATAATGATGACTATGCTAAATTCAAAATTTGAAAAGAAATTATAGACTCTTAGGAAATCAAAAAGAGACGTTTTGGTGTAAGGCTACATAAGTTTAGATTTGTTTAGTCAAGAAGGCTCACATGCTATATCTTGGTATAGGGATAGCATCTTTCTCTTTCCTGTTTCAGGTCCCAAGGCTTTTGAACAAACACTGACTATATGTGGGATGCTTCTTATGATGCTCATATTTGGCCCTAAAACCTGGGAGCTCAGGAGCCTCAGATTAGAGAAAGGAAAACGCAGCCCTTACCTTTTTGTAGAGACTCCTCAGATCTCGGTACTGCCACATGCTGTTGAGGACCTGAGACGCAGCCTTAACCACCTTTGGAGAGTGCCTGGAAAAGACAGGACAGGCAATGCAGATGACCAATGGCGTCTAGTTTGGTGGCACGTTGTCTCGTCAGAAGAGAATAAAATCCACATCCTCTGGGTTTTCCTCCTCAGCAGACTATTGCTTTCCCTGCCCCATTCTTCTCAACGACACATCTGGAAGGTGACCGCAGGAGGGGCGGGCACTAGGATTTGTCAAAGACATTCCAAACGCAAACACCTGAACCATGACACTCAGGGTGAAAACAGATATATTCTCTAATTATACAAAATGGAAGAGAAAGATGAAAAAAAGTGATTCTGCAGCACTGAATGAGTCTAGGGATATTTTTTTTACAGCAGTGTTAAGCCACACATGAGTAATAAGAATGGAGACAGCCATATCCCCAGGGCACAGGCACAGGTATGGGGCTGGCATCCTGACCTGTGAGCACAAGCAATGCTCCTGTTGCCTGTGGATGCTAAGCATACACACCACACACACACACACACACACACACACACACACACACACACACAC